GAACATCTGCCCTATGAGGAGAGGCTGAGGGAGCTGGGCCTGTTGAGCCTGGAGAAGAGAAGGCTGAGAGGGGACCTGAGCAGTGTCTAGAAGTAGCTCAAGGGAGGCAGTGAGGAGGATGCTGCTGGCCTCTTTTCACTAGTAGCCACCGACATAACAAGAGGTAATGGCCACAAATGAAAACACCAAAAGTTCCACAGGAACTTAAGGAAAAAATTCTTGAGAGTAAGGGTGACAGAGCACTGGAACAGCCTGCCCAGAGAGGTTGTGGAGTCTCCTTCTCTGGAGATCTTCAAAACCCGCTTGGACGTAGTCCTGTTCCACATGCTCTAGGTGACCCTGCGTGTGGAGGGGGCTTGGACTAGATGACCTCTAGAGGTCCCTTCCAACCTTAAGCATTCTTTGATTCTATGATTCTATGACCCAAGGTTGAGAGCTAAGCAAGCTCGATTTTGCTCACAAGAGAGCAAAATCCACCACCCATGACATCTTTCTCTTTTCTCTTACTCCTATTCTGACCCTTTCTAGCTCTGCTCCTGCCTTCCACCAGGCCACCCAAAACTACTTGGCAGGCCTGCCTTCCCCCTAGGCACCTGCAGTCACACAGCAAAACAGAAGTCACTGCTGTGATCCAAGGTCAAGAGACAAGTGAAGCTGAATTTTGCTCACAAGAGAGCAAAATTGGCCTCCCACCACAGCTCTCTCTTTTCTCTCACTGCTGTTTTGATCCTTCTGAGCTCTACTTCTGACATGCCTCTCCAACCTCCTACATGCCCAGAGATCCCTTCGTTTCCATTCTCTGTCGATGTCTTCCTTCTCTCCTACTTGTTCTCCTTACCACTTCCTCCTCTCATCATCTTCCTCCTTCACCCCTCACACTCTATTTCTGCTCTGCCTTCTCTCCCGCTCAGCCTCCCTCCCACGTGCTCTTGCTCATCAAGACACCTCCTCTGGGCAGCCTCCACTGTGCCAGCAGCTCCACTAATGCTCACAACCATGTGCTCCCTGCTTGTCCCTACATCTCCTCGCTTTTGGGACACCATGTGTCCCTCTCGCCTCAGGGTTACTCCACAAGGTGCATGTCCCAGCATATGAGACCACTTACTGTTCTCCTCCTCCACTTGAGCTACAAAAGAAAGAGAAAAGGGGCTTAGCAAAGACAGGACACTGCACTCACACCCACCCGCACCTTCCCGCACACGCATTTGGTGACTTCCCGCTCCCATTTCGGCAACAGGCTCCCATCCTTGCAGAACAGGCTGAGGCCAACAGGCAGTCCAGATTCGAGCCTCTACCCCGGGAGCTCCCCGCAAAACCACTTTGCAGGCCCGCCTTCCTGGCCTCATGCATTTCAGCCTTCTTTCCTTCCCTCTCACTACGAGACCTCTCCCGCATACCATATCTCAGTAGCCCAGGACACTTACCCTTCTCCTCCTTAGCTTGATCTACAAAAGGAAGAGAAAAGGCATTTAACAAAGATGGGGCACAGTGCTCACATCCACCTTCGACTCCCCAGCCACTCATTGGATGAATTTTCCCATCATATTTTTGCAGTAGACTTCCACCCTAGCCCACCATGAGAAGGCCTGGTGCCACCAGTACACAGTGCCCCCCGCTCATGCTCTTCCCTCTAGCGACAAGGAGCCCCTCTCCTGTGCCAGCAATTTTTAGTGGAGCATATATTGCCTTTTAAGGGAATTATCCTCTTTAGAAGTCAACAAGCCTCGTCAACTAGTCCATGTCTGTGATGACACCACCCTTGTTGCTCAGAATAACTTGGCTTCTTTCATGATCCAGTCAAATAAAGGAAAAGGTCCTAAATGCCCATTGTGCAAAATCAAGGTCATATAATATGACTTTTTCTTTAAAAAGTGGTCAATAACTTTCTATTTTTCCCTCCCTCCTTTCATTTTGTATTTTATGCATACCTTCTTCTTTTTTTTTTTTTCATTTCATTATTCCCTTTCTCTTCCCCTTGTTTTTTTTTTTTTTCACTCTTTTCTCTCTATTCTCTCTTCTGTGGACTTTATGCCATCATTCCATGATCTACATTTGTTCACTCTGTCAGCTCCTCAAACAATGGGACTGCATCTGGTGACAATCTCCTGCCCCTTTCTGTGCATTTTTGTTCACCTTCTCTTTTAGAAATTTGATCTAACCTGTTTACCTCCTCAGATTCGGTAACTATTAGTGTCCTTAAATTCCACATTGATAAAACAAATATTCTTTACTCCTTCAGTGGAGAGAAAACCACCCCTTCTTCTGAGTACAGGTCGTCAGTCCCTTATGGACATTATCCCACATCTTTAAACACAATTTTCAGCAGCTTATTTGCAAAGAAATATCACACTTACCATCCTGAGACATGAGTGGATCTGCAAAACAAAAGATTTATTTATTTCTTGCTTTTAAGATATGGTTGTTGACACTTTGAATTGAAAAAAAGAAAAAAAAAGGAAACAGAGATTCCTTCCAGGAAGAATCTTGCCAACTTTGGTGTCAGAGCAAACCCTTTTCAGCATTCCCTGCTCTCCCAAATACCCACAACTGTCAGTGTTGCCATTTTTGTCAGATGCCTAAATAAAATGCCTGTGTGCACTGCCGGCCTTCCACACTCCTAACTCATGGATCTCCTGCTCAGATAGTCAATGGCTGAATGATAGAAGGACTCTCTGGACACATGCACACAAATATATAGAGAAGCTGTCAACTCATGTAGCTCAACTACACTAATTCAAGTGCAAGAGCAGCCTCATCGAGGAAGAAGAACTGGCAGAGAGTCAAATTGCTTTACACATGCTCCGGCCATGTAAAACCATCCAATGGCATGGTTAGAAGCAGAAAGAAGAGGGGACTCT